TTAGTTATTACCTGCTACCCGGAACGAGCACTAAATGACAATTTTAACTTGCGCTCGGTGTTGACCATAAATTATTTGATTTTAACTAGTATGAAGACTAAACGTTTAAATCTGCAGCTTGGTTACGCGGATCTTCACATCTTGATTTGGCCAGTGGTGTTGATTTAGATTTTCTCAAATGCATATGGTTTACAATGGATCAAGTGTGTATACAGTCGAACGACTTTTGTCCGAAATGAGCCGAGTTTAGCTCAAAGGAAGCCAGACAACTGGTGTCTCTAAATTTTCAAACCGTTTGAAGATAAGTAGACAGAGGAACTTCAGCGTGTTTGTGGTCAAGGAAGTCCGAATGCCCACAATGGTCTTAGGATGGACCCGAATTACACGAGTATGGCCAGCTAGAACAATGCACTAATCAGTTTAGTCTACAAATAGGGTCTCTGAAGTCATTTCTAGCACCGTCTTAGGCTTAAAACGCCGTAATATTCGGCGCGAAATGAAAGCAACCTAACAGCTGAACCCTGTGACAATTCGACCTGTACAACAGTGGTCGCAGTGAGAGGTTTGAGGTAAATTGCAGTATTCCACATTGTATACATGACCGCATATTATTCTGGCACATATTCTTCTTGCAGACGTCTTTTTATCAATCTAGGTAACATTATCGGCGCGCAGTAGTTGTTTTGCTTTTTGATTTAGTGGTGCGTCGGCGGGTAGACCTAAGTACACTGGATGAACCTATTAAATAAGTATGTTAAATAGCTGTGTTTCTGTTCTCCGCCTAGCTACTAATTCGATGCTGGCAAGACTAAAACAGAACTTAGTTTATGCAACGAGTTATGTAGATAACCTTCGGCTGTGCGCACTATAGTCCTTCGAGAATTTACGGATTTTAGGCCGTGTTTATTGTAGGTAGTTATGAGTCCATTATCTAAACAAACTGATGACATTCATGTAACTAGTCGTAAAGAGGAAATTTACGTATGCCTGCTGACACCTCGGTCTNAATTTACGTATGCCTGCTGAACACTCGGTCTCGATTAGGACACAGGACTCCCGGTTCTGGATGGAAGGAGAGGAAAAACTGAGGATAACATGAATGAATCAGGCAATTACCATCAACAGAGGCATTTAGACGTTTTACGGGGATTTAAGTTATACTCTTAGTGGATAAAACATTTCCAGAAAAACAGTCAGCTAAAAACTATGTACCTATACTTCCAATATAGTTCGCTTTGCTGAAGAACAGAGTTTGCTGATGTTGGTTTTTGTTAGATTAGGCTCACTTATTTAACTGTACTCACAAAGAATGTCCTATAACCTCATCACTGCCTGGTAGACCGAAAGGGATTCCTTGCTAGATGCAATGCTCACATCAGTTGGAGTATAATGTCGGCATGTAGCATGTAGGGCCGAGTATATCGAGGTGATATGTACATTTAACGAGCGCTCTCCTAACGTACAATAATTCTGAGGGAATTGCTTTGTAAGAACCAAACGTTGTCTTTAATCGGATGCAACAAACTTCACAGAACGAAAAGGTAGGAGCTTTAGTTCCCATATATGGCGGGTAGTTTGTGAAATTACCCAAGCTAGTCATATTCTTTGGACATAGCTACGTTAGTGGTTGTCATTTTTTATCTAAAAATGTTCGGTGGCTCACGAGAGAGAAGAAATGTCAGCGATTCATTTACGTTGGTTCTCAAAGCATAACTTACCGCTGAAACAAGTTAGTGTAGTCTCGTCACCTGTTGTCGGTCATTATTACACCGCGGCAGTCCCGCTCACTTTGCCGGGCAGCTTGCGTGGCCCCCGTGGTGATGGTTGAGTAGTATCGTCCTCCCAGTAGACGAAGAAGAAAGAGCGTCTTATCTTTCGGCTTAGGCAGCACATCCATTTGAATGAAGATCGTACCTACTCGAATACTAGAATATATGTTGCGTGAGTTTGGCGTTTGTTTAGTTTAATGGATACTGATCCTTCACCATGTTTATTCAAGAAAGGAAAAATCTCAAAAGACTGACCGGTTGTAAGGCGCGTCGTCCAAATGACCGAAGATCTCATTTTTATGGCATCAGTATTGCTTCTAGAAGATTGATACTAGAACCCCCAATTACAGACAGTACTTCTTGTTCCTACAAGCTCCTAATTGATATTTTCTTAGTCCAGAAAATTGGGAACTATTTTGGCAGAGAACCATTTCATGTAATTCACTGTGTATATGCAGTAGTTTTTGTTCATTTGTGCAATACTACTACTCGCTGAGGACATTAAATTCTACGGAAATACTTAAAGGACCATAGAAGTGAGGTATTTTGTGGGTACATGGAAATTTCTTTGCTCTTAAGCCAAGTAAATGGGAGTAAATCGATGATACTTCCCCATTCCTTAAGCAAAAACGAAGAGGGTATGGAAGTTTTAAATGGTACATCAGTTGAAATTACACTAATCCCTCCGAATAGAGTTTAAATCATCCGGGGCGATTGGACTCTCTGTTGGACAGAGAAAATTCAACATTCATTGCAGCTAACGACATCCTCAAATGTATTTTTTACCAAGCTTAAAGTCAAACCGACTCATGTTCGATTTCATAGTTCCCGCTTATGTCGCACCAGGAGAGATGTTGCGTTGCCAATGTGGCAAGGATTATGGCGTCAACCAGACAAAACAAGTTTTTGGTTATATTAATGCGTACTTTGGGTGAACTGTAACGAAATACGTTGTTTGAGTACATGTGAGGTCTGAAAATAACGCTGAACGTTAGCAATCGATGAACAAACAAAAACAAGTCCGTAGTTCGTCAGTCGCACGCGATGCTGTGACCAGCTGATTGGACGATATGCATGAACGGAGGACGTATAAAAGCTGCGGAAGAACGGAGCAACTAACAGGCTGGAATTCATAGTGCCAACTGATGCCAAATCCTTATTTCATCTTAAACGTTTTATGCACCACGTGGGTTGCAGCTGAATCCTTAAGGGTCGGTTCATTTAATATTCAAATGTTCGGCAAGAAGAAGGTGGAAAATGAGAAAGTGCTGCGCCACATTGTTCAAGTAAGGTAGTTCACGATTACAATTGAACTGAATATCAGATTCTAAAACGATATGATTTGGTGGTCATACTGGAAATCAGAGACAAGAAAGGAACGGCATTTCAGAAACTTTTACAACACCTCAATCAGTAGGTTTCAGTGGCTATAAAGCTATTTTTCTCAGACAGTCCAACGGGTCGTACGCGTCGTATGTGAGTGAAGCTCTTGGGAGGACAACATCGAAAGAACAATATGGCGTTCTCTACAAGCAAGTACAATAGCACAGTTTGTGTGTAGTGTGTTCTCAGGTTTCCGAATCTGAAAAAATTCAGCATTCACTATATTGGACGTTTCATTCTTAGTAAGTTGGATTGATTCTGATTTGTAGTTTGATCTGCTATTTCGTGCAAAGTTAAAATGAAGGCGCGTAAAGGGCAACGCTACAAGTATAGACGTTTTATCATTGTATAAGTGTTACATTTCTTTATAACCTATTTTGGGAGGAATATGGATGAATCAACTGGGCTGTGCTTATATCAATAAGTCTGTTAGGGTCAAACAGTGCACTTGCAACCGGTCTCTGTTCTAGTAAATTTCCCGGAAATAGCAACTTATAAATCGGTACTTCATTATAAATCAGCCTTATCACGAGACATTCATTTTTAGCATCAATATACACGAGTGATTTGTCGGCAATTAAATAGGTCTTGGGTGTTGTCAAATGAATTTGTAGAGGACTCCATCAAATTGTCTGACTTAGGATATCTGGCAATAAATGGCTATTGAACCCAAACTGTAGGACACGAACGAACGTAAAAATGCCCGAGAGCTCGCAGCTAGAAAGAATCGGGGCTGCTAGAAGTAGATTGTAGGTGTGTATTGGTATGACCTGAGAAACATACATACGACTATTGTTCTTAGCTGTAATTACTAAACAACTATGAGAAGTGAGGAATACTTCTTATTTATAACCATTTATATCAACCATATACATTCTTCTGAGAGGCAGAACCAAGTCAGAAACGATTCTTAGCTAGTCAGAACGGAACTCATATAAGTTGAGAAGATAAACTCTGTTATCTAAAGGTGTCAAAGTTTAAATGCTAACTTGTTCAGTATTCTCAGTAGTGAAAAGTAAATTCGTACATTACGTTACAGGTTTCCGGTTTAACTTTCATCCTACCCCTCAGTCTTTCAGACTTATATTATACGCTTCACTTCCAATCCTAAACGACGGCTAATGTTCAAGTTTTTCGACGAAACGTTCGATGAAGTAGAACTTGGTGCAGTATAAGTCTCCGTAATGTTTTCGATCAGAATGAAGGTACAGCGTGAGATAATAATCTCATGTAGCAAGTTCCCTATGAATCGTCAGCATTCGCCTCCAGCAGTGGCCCAGATGACCAGTGTTCTTTTGGCACTGATACTGAACAGATTATTTCAAGTGTTATGTAAGGTTAAAAGTGGCCACCAAGGGAGGAGACGGTCTTACAATTTAGTCTGTTTGACTTGTAAACCAGCACCGAGCATTGTTGATGGCGTGATCGGAAACGACCAAAGAATTCCCGAAGTCATCTTTTTACTTTATATCTTCACGCGAGTTATATAATCAAAAATGTCTTACTGATTAATGTGTGTCAACACAACGGCACCCGTTCATTTTGACTGTTTGTGCTCTTTGTGCTATGTTGTCTCACGACTTTTCTTGCGTTAAAGAAACTTTGACCGCAAGATGAAATTAATGTCAATATATTGATTATTGTTCACGGTAAATATGACCTTGACTTCCATCTGACTTTCAGCTTAATGGGCTTGACGATAGCACACACATTGGTTAAATATGCATACTAAGAGAATGAACTGATCAGCTGCTTTCAGACTGTGATACGTGAATATGAACGTTAATGCTCAAAGTTTTTCCAAGTTAACCTTCTTTCTCTCCTTGAAACAGAATATCCAAACTAGATCTGAGCCGTTTTCAAGTTTTTCCAGATCCGTACGACAAGTATGAACGACCTCCGATGGGCTTTATTGTGCATAGTAAGGAGAAAGGTAATCAACTTCTGGATCTTCATCATCGCCTTCAAGGTTTTCCTGAATTTGGATGGATCGCTGTGCATTTGGACCCTGACTCAGTTGAGGCCGAACTAAATGCGTTATATGAGACCGCTGAAAATTTTCGGAAGGAAAATAAACTTGATGCAAGTGAAATGTTGACAGCGAATGCAAGATTTTACGATTTCTTGTGTTTAACTATAGGGAATACACCACTGAGAAGACCAACCCTCGGGTGGGTCACGATTTTTCCAGTCTATTTTACCAAAATGCTCCACATGATTTCGTGAACTGAGTGTGTTTACCGTCCATTGATACGGTTGCTACTTGAAACCTTGAACTCAGGGTGGGGTAATCCATTCTGAGAGTTTATCTACTCTAACCAACTTAATAAATAATAAACGGGTTGTCAGTTTGTAACGTATGAGAAAAGCACTTTGTAGAACCAGAAACCTCAAAAGAAATGACACATTTTGTGAGGCCAATTCCACTGAAATCATGTCGCTAAATTTGGAGTTAGCCAGACTTGAGAATTGCTTTGCGAATAACCGTATTTCAAAGTATGCAGCTATGTGATGCTGACTCTGAGTGGCATAATGCCAATTCCACTGAAATCATGTCGCTGAATTTGGAGTTAGTCAGACTTGAGAACTGCTTTGCAAATAACCGTATTTCAAAGTATTCAGCTATGTGATGCTGACTCTGAGTGGCATGCATTATGGAAAAGCATGCAGTAGTGTACAATAAGTCTTGTTGACTTTGGGATATTTTTCGTGAAGAATCACGTGAATGTAGCCATTGTAGCCATGATGAGTGCGAAAAACCAATAATCCCATGGAAATGGCCCTCTGGGACCTGGAGATCGAAAGTTGACATGCGACCTGGGTAGAGTTGCGGGTAAACAAACTTTCAAACAATAGCTTTAAATAATATCTGTTGGTTCGATGCATGATGACTAAACAAGTTGGCAATACTCTGTTTCCCAGAGCATCCCAATTCGAGTTCAGCAATCAATCTGTTGTAAATTTTAGTTAGGGGGTTTATACTGCCGATAAAACCCATCTAAAGAATAACGGTTCCATGAATTTCATAAAAGTATAGTAATTGGATGTTGTGATTATCAATTGGGCGCATCTCTGAAGGTCTATATGCAATTATCGAAAAGGTCGCTTGCCTTGTACGTGATACTATCCTACTGTCAGTCGAAGAGTTCGTTGTTGCATTGTACTGCTCTTGTGTGAGTTGACAATTTTGCATTTCTGTACAAGAGATCTGTCTGGGCATGTTTGTCACTGTGTAGATCGTACTGCTGGAGCACTTCTCGTGTTAGGCATGTTTTATATCACAAATTCTTCGGCATGTCTACAGGATGTACTTTTGGCGGGAGACATGAATGCTGACTGCCGTTACCTCAGCAAGCGGAGAATGCGGGAGCTGAGGTTGATCAAAGATACTCACTATTACTGGCTTATAAACGATGAATGTGACACAACTGTACATTCAAACAACTGCGCATTAGATCGGTAAGTCAGACAGTGACACAGATGCGCTTTAAAAACCCTATTGTACTGTAACTATAAAATCTTGCGTTGTCATCGTGCCCGTTGTTTTTGCCCTTTTTCTGCTTAGTTCAGCAGCTTATTTCAGGGAGTGACAACAAAAATGATTCACAAAAAGAAAGGGGATGCACTGGAGATAGAGTTCGTCGGCTAGACAGTTTGTTCGCTTCCACGATCTTATGCGCTTTTTGTGCTTGGATGTACATATTTAGCCCTTTGAGAACACCAAAATCAAAACTTTTCGGATAAGATTGTGAATAACATGTGGGTGGCCCTGGATGATATCACGCTCCGTATGGCTAACAGATCTTCCTATCTCTGAGGCTGCAATTGACTCATCGACTCATCTGTCTTTCTTACATCCTATCCCGTAAACTGCAACTGGTGGCTACCACTATTACTGAACTTCGTTTTCTATAACAAGCTAAACACATCATCATCCAAAGAGGAGGTTGTAGGCAACAGTAAACCCACTTCCAAATTATTGCCCTCATCATGGGAAACACCGTGTGCCAAACACTACTAGAAATCCTATGATGAAAGCTGTAAAGCTGAAAGAAGTCAATCGTCTTCGCCCGTGCGGGGTCTCCAAGGGCAGATTTTCAGGTTTTGGAGCCCCAGTATTTGATGAATTGGCCTAAAGCTAAACACGCCACAGATCTGTTTGAAAGAATTTCACATAAGCTTGTAATGTGGTATTCAACAAAATTTCCTCAATAATTTGACGGCCATAAAAGCGAATCTGAGGATAGATAGCTGTCACTTATTCACCTTATTCTTTGTAAATGTTAGCGATCGTGCTTTTTTACGTCTCGTGCAATTTCTGAATGACTTCACAGCATGATTGGTTATGGCACAAATCTGAAAAGTGCAGTAAAGGGCCAACGGGGAAACGCATACCGCTATGATAACGAATTGAATTTGGATATCGACACGGTAAGTTTTGATTTGCCTATAAAGATTTTTAACTTTCTGTGTGAACAACTACTCTCTTTGCAGCCAGTTTAAGGAGACGACTCGTTTTTTGGATGCGAACACACCGGAGACATTCCCGCGACGATGACTGTCAAGGCTCTTCAGTGGTACATTTGACTTAATTCATAAGGCTAATCCTTCGGAGAACATCAAATCTGACTGAACAATGAGGCTTTCTCGATGACCGGTGCCTTCATCATACACGGCCATATAAGTTGGTTTGTTACATTTGGTCCATGAAAGTGAGCGGGTTGCACTTCTGTCGAGCCTCATTTGAAACGAGGAATAATTTTTTTATTTGCTACTACTGTATTTTTCTCTGAAAAAGAGTGAATTGAGTTACCAACCAGTGAGCTGGTACAGTGAAATGCTAGGAAGTTCTGGTACATGATTTACATTCGGTTGAAAAAATATAAGGGTAGGAAATTTGAGAACATTCATTCAAGATATGATCAACTAAGGGTGTAACAACATCAAATCCATTAACGTAGATTACGTGGCCAAACGATAGCTGCTTTGTAGCCCAATAAAGCGCTGATCCCCCGATAAGCACTGGACCAGTGTTCAACTGTCATTTTAGATTCCTTGAAGATCTCCAAGACGGGTAGTACAGCTTATACCAAACAAGACTGAAATTACTGCAGGGCTTACCCGATCAGCACTGGACCAGTGTTCAACTCTCATTTTAGATTCCTTGAAGATCCGCAAGACGGGTAGTACAGCTTATTCCAAACAAGACTGAAATTACTGCAGGGCTTATTGATCTAGATAAACTTTACCTCCTGCACGGAATCCACTTGTCAGTCTGCACAACCTTCCAACTATCGATACTATTTCGTCGGTAACTAATAACAAACAGATTTATGTGCATAGAACGCACACTTTTGGTCGTTGGGAATGCTGCTGATGCGGCCCAAGTGTCACGATTTAGGAAAGGGGTTATGATCAACCGATGAGTAAAGAAGTTTCAAAAACCACAGGTTTTAGCAGGTGTCTCGAGCATGAAGTGGTTCTGATGATGCACCACGAGTCATTTCCATGTTGCATTCTCAGATGACAAACAAATAGTTGTGCAGGTATTAAATACTCGACTGCTAATGAGTGGAGCTTTACATCACCACAATGCCTTTACGATTCCATTGAACTTTTTCACTACTCGCGAAAGGACGAAATTTTGCTATCCTCAAATTAATTGCTTCCGACATTTTGTGTAGCCTATTCTTGCCACCCCTTTCAGGCAAAGGCGATCAGTGACCACTATCCAATTGAAGTCGAGATGGAGAAAATAACCAAAGATAGATCCTTCACCAACCGACCAAAACCTTCGAAAACAGCACAACCCTCCTCGTTGTAACTACGATTTCCAACTGCCTTCGGTTACGGTAAATGTGTATAAACGTGCTACTGTTGTTCTAACCTTAACTGGCTATTCTGCGTCGATTTTACGTTGTTCTGGGAGTTATTACGCAGGTCTGCAGTTTAACCGCTTCATCTCTTTAAACCTTGGATAAATTTAACGGAAAAAATGCAGCCACAAACCACGCGAAGCCACGCCATCTGATTTATTTGCAACATTCTTTGAACAAACAATATCTATTTTCACGGTGCGTTTAGTTTCAAAGTAGTCCATTAAGAGATCGTCCTTTACCTTAAGTCGGTTTATGCTAAAAAGCCAAAAAGCATTGTACCGCTGTTTAATCCGTATTGGAATTAGAACTCACAAACTTCCGGTTTGTGGTTGAATTCTAAACCGTTTGATCAACCGTCATTTAAACAGAATACAGCGCCAATCGACTTTAAAGAGGGGACCCATATCCCACGGTCACGTTCAAACTGGCTCTCGGGTGAAGACTTCTGAGGCACATGGTTCAGTTGTCGTGTGAATCACTCTTCTATTGAGCTATTTGTAGTTTGTCAGTAGCAAGAGAAGATTTTTAAAAAATTTAGTCGTCCTGTGAGTTACGTCGTTCTGTGCTGGTAAGCCAAGAAGATATCCACAGCTGCTTTGTTCTTATTAAGAATCATTAGCAGTGCGCAATACACGAATCGACGGGACTATTCGAACCAGCAACCTCCCGCCTAGTAGTTGAACCCTAGGTTGCACACCAATATTTTATATCAGGCGCATCACACTTGAAGCTACCAAGACAAAGAAATACTTCACTAAAAATAATGGCCAAGAGGGACGTCCATGAACAGCCTAGTCCCCCTTTGTCGTCCTTCATTATGACTAGCTGTCACTTCCCGCATCCGTAAAGATATTTTTCATTCGATGCTGTCATCTGCCATCTCCTATTTACCGCTCGGCACCAGCAGTTATAGAGTTGCCCAAGAGGTAACTTTTCTTCTAGCATCACCGCTGTTAACCGGTCGTACTTATCAGTAGAAACAAGCTTTTGTGAACCATAATCTGTGGGCACAGTCTCCACACAGAGCAATAAGTGTGGTTTATGCAAGGAGGATGATAGACGCAAGACTCCACTCTTCACCGCCACAACCGATTAGGTATGAGGCTTGCTGCCTACTGGCATTATTAGGCGAATATCCTTGAGTATGTCTGCCTTACTTCAATAAAGTGGCGGCAACTTATCGACAGCCCCAAATACTACTATAGAAGTCCATTATTCATACAGACACTGAAGGTGACCTGCTGGGTTGGAACAGCCAGGGAGCACATATTACTTGATGCAAGCATTCCGATTCGTCATATCGTTCATTACGATTTTTCACTGCAAGGACTTAAAATATAAGTGCGAATTCGGTAGTTGAACGTGAGTAAACTTTAAGTTCCGACCAAACAAACATCAAAAGGATGTACGTCATATAGCTCCTTGTCGTTCAATCGCTCTCGACATTGACGGCTGACAATATTATTCAAAATACTTTTCTAACGTAATACCGCTTCTTGTTAGTTCAAAAAAGTGGATCTAGGCACTCACTGTTTGAAACCCTACAGAAATGAACAGCTGAGATCCCAATTCTTTGACAATTCCCGGGCAGCGTTGATTGAGTACCAGTGTAACGGTGATACTATGGAAGGGGGAGGCATACAAGTGTAACGGTGATACCACTGATGGGGGGGCACGCGAGTAGTATGTGTTGTTCGTAGAATTGAAATAGGGAGATCTGTTGCAGAATTCGTGGAGCCACTTTGTAACATTTGCTTAGATTTGACCGACGAATGGGTGGAGTCAATGAATCTCCAGGAAAGTTCAAGAAGACTTGTTCGGAAGAAAATCGGTGTCCAGTCTTTGTAAGTAAGATGCAGATTAGAGTTTGGCTTCCCTGTTCAATGGTCTGTAACCGGTCAGTAGGCATTTCCTAATAGAGAACTCCGCAGCAAAGGCCTTCTTCCTTTCATAAGTAGTATGTTTTCTTGTAAATTCGCTTTACGTCTCTTGAAAAGGGAGATCCTATTGCGGATTTGTGTAGTCTCTGTGTGGCATTTGCTTGGATTTGAGCAACAGTCAATGAATATCCAGGAAAGTTCAGGAAGACGCGTTCAAGGGAAGATGGATGTTCAGTTTTTGTGAATACGATGCAAATGGGAGTTTTGCTTCCCTGTCCAGTATCCCGTAAGTGGTCAGTTGGCATTTTCTTATAAATAACTACGCAGCGAAGTCCTTCTTCTTTTCACCAGTACCAACTGCTGGAATCACACACGTCCACATAAATAATACTGGATTGATATTTCAAAGTTGCAGAACACGGTTCTTTAAAAAAACTACCAGTGGCTTTGTCGGTCTGAATAAATCGAAAATCTATACTACACAAACATACGAAAGGTAAATCAAATTTGGTGATGAAATGCGGCATTGACCGTTATGCCGGACGATAGCGTTACAAACATACCTTGGCATCATAAATGATGCATATCTGAAAACGACAAATTTTGAACCACTCATCTGGTTTTTTACTATTTTGTAGCTATCTTAAGTGGGCTCATTCGTCAAAAGGATTCTTGACGATTTTCTAATTAGAATAAACCAGCTGTAAAGTGTTTGTCGGCTTTTCGGAATAGATTTCCTTCACCTACTGGACAAAATCTCTGTTGAACATTCCAAAATCTTCTGGCAGTTTATATATAACTCAGACGAGGAACAAATTCACACGACAAGTGAAAATTCCATCACACAAAACTCGTTGCTCGAGCAGCTAGTTGACACTTTTGGCCACTTGATATGGATTCCGTGATTTAAGTACGAGTGATACTCCATCCTGTCTGAGTGCGAGTTCCTCACTGCTGCAGGTTCAAAGTTGATTCTTTCCAGCAAGGACGAAACAGCTGCGCAGTGCTTCTTGGCTTTTCAGCATACAATCGCTTCACTTACAGGGCGAAATCTCGATTGAGCACTCCTCATCCGTGAATGTGGGACTATGAACCCATCAATCCAGTTAATTAATATTGAGCGACCTTTTAAAAGAAGAACCTACTAATAAGGTGAAACTTTCACTAACCTTTTCCAACATCGATAAGTTCCCCGAAAGTTATTGGCAACCAGTCTACGAAGCTCGTAGTCAAATTTGAAATATTCTACAAACGCAAGCGTTGTTGACAAGAATGGTGGGTTTCGCTTACAGCTTTTGTGGGGCCAAAATTACTTATTATTTGATTCGTGGCTAATGCCGATCCTCTGCCCCTGAATCACACTGATGTGTCGGTGGTAACAGCACTATACACGCATTGATATGTACAAAAGCATCGCGCTATTCCCACAGTACTTGCCGACCATGGTAAGTTTGAAGAGGCTTCGGGTTGAGGAGTGGATGGGTGAATGAGCTGGTTCGCTCAAGTTGGTTGCTCACGGCAGGTCACAGGAACTGCTGGGATAACCCGGCAAATGGTGGCTGAGTACTGCTAGAGGTAACTCAATGAACACTGGATCATGCATGATGTTTGCTATATGTTCACTCATCCCATGCACAATTTAATTTATTCTGCTCAGCAAGTGATGAATTTC